TGCTAAGAGTTGTTTGAACAGTTGGGGGCTCATTCAAGAGGTTTCAGAGGAGAAGAATTTTAGTATGTTACCTAGAGATCATTCTTGTGATATTTTGGTGGAGAAGGTGGCTGTCTGTTGCCCTTGTCTGAGGAGTCTGCCTGAGGATAAGGTGAAGAAATATGGATTAATTCCATTGGCAAAGGAAATCTCAAAAGAGCCTAGTATAGACTCCATTGTGTAGTTTTTAGTGGTAACTCTAATGAAAATTCATAATGAAAAGGAGAAAGCTGAGCAGGGTAAATTACAAATGAAAATTTTGAGGAGAAAAAGAGCACCAGGAAGGGGAATAGAGCTAAATTCTGTGTTCAAGTGTTAGACCCCAGGAAAACTCAGGCCTCCAGGGTCTAAGCCCAGGACTGAGGTTACCCCAATCACCAGGAGGACTCGAAAGCTTGCTGCAAACTGCATGAGTCTTTATTGTTGTTTAACGAGCTAACCCCATGTTATCTCAGGTCTTTCACCCACCCGCCATGGTGGATGGCTAGCAAAAGACCGCCCGAACCGACTGCAGAGAGATCTTGTAGGGCAGCATAAGGGAAGTGTCAAGGGGTACGCACAGGCTCAGGATTGGTGTGCTTCCAGGCTTGGAGGGCTTGCCCTGTGTTAATTGGCCAGCTGGTTGTTACAGCCCATAGGCCCTCCCAGGGTGGTTGCTATGCTCTGCGTCATTGCTGTGCACTTGTCTGTAAAGCACAGCCAGAGCCATAAAGCATAGTGCCGCCAACTAACTTCTGATTGGTTCCTTGCCACGAGGCAGGCATCTGACTTCTAGTGACTAGGACAAGGTCATGACAAGCACGTGTTACTGTCATGGCTGCCGAAATGGGGAGCTGGTCCCTTCACAAGGAGATAAACAGATTAAGAAATGGGATAAAAGGAGTGGCCCCATCCAGCTAAGTTTCCAACTTGTGGAAAGGAACTAAAGAAAAGCTTAGAGCTGGGTATGGTGGAGCACACCTTTAATCCCAGCACTGGGAAGGTAGAGGCTGGCAGATCTCTGATTTTGAGGGCAGCCGGGTATAAGAGCAAGTTTCAGGACAGCCACGCTTAGGCAGTGAAAGACAGAAAGCTGGTGAAGATGTAACTGACCCGGCGTGTGCTGCCCTAGCAAGCAGCAGAACTTGGCATCTTCAGCCATGTGGTTCTGGCTTTAGAATTAAGGATAGAATAAAAAGTCATGGATTAAAGCTGATGAGGCCAGGCATGTGTCAGGGGTGTCCCTGAATGGAGGCCTAGAGAGGTCATTCTGTGAAGCTGTAAAGGCGAAGCCTGGATTGCCTCAGAGAACCCAAGATGTTAGAGATGCCAGAGTCGTGAGATGCCTGCCAAGGGAAGCTACTAATAGGGAAGGGAATCAGCCCAAGAGAAAAAAATGTTGCAGTCAACAGAGCTGAATGGAGTTGGAGATGCAGAGAGCGTTTTGACATCAGACATGGAGATGCAGAGTTTGGAGTTTGCTCAGCTCGTCTTTTGGTCTTGTTTCGGTACAGTATTTCCTTGCTGTGCTCCCTTCCCTGCATTTGGAATGCTGCAGTGTTGGAACTATGTGATCTGCTTTTTGATTTTGATTTTTATAGGCAATTACAGTTAAGAGATTGTCATGCATCTCAGGAGAGACTTTGGACTTTGAAATGAGTTTGAGACTGTTACAGACTATGGAGACGTTTGAAGTTGGACTGAATGTAGTTTTGCATTATTATATTGCCCCCTTTGGGGGTCATGGATTGGAATGTGGTGGTTTGAAAGAAAATGGCCCCCAAAGGGAGTGGCACTATTAGGAGGTGGCTTTGTTAGAGGAAGTGTGTCACTGTGGGGGAGAGCTTTGAGGTCTTTGCTCAAGCTTCCCTCAGTGTGACTGTCAGTTCAACTTCCTGTTGTCTGCAAGATGTAGGACACTTGGCTATTTCTCCAGCACCATGCCTGCCTGCATGCCACCATGCTCCCCGTCATGATGATAATGAACTGAACCTCTGAAACTGTAAATGAACCCCCTCAATTAGATGTTTTCCTTATAAGAGTTGCTGTGGTCATGGTGTCTCTTCATAGCAATAGAAACACTAACTAAGACAGAGGGAGAAAGTGTATGAATATCGAACAAGGCAGGTGACAGTGAGAGGGTGAGTGCCAGAGCCTAGAATGTATAGCTAGGTAGGGTTTGGGATGAAAGTGGAAGGGCAAAGTGGTTTAGACCAGGAATAGTGTTTGGGAGAATCTGGTCTGAGACCAGAACAGAGAATACAGAAGACAAAGCCAAAGGATGATGTAGAGAATAGACTAGGATGGAGGGGTGAGGCCTATATTCCTGTAGTATTTCTTGAAATGGGTTCAAGACACACTGTAGTGCTAAAGAACCTAGGCTGCCTCCCAAGCCTTGCTCTCAGCAGCTGGTAGGTCAGGTGCAGAGGGATCCTGCTGAGCTCTGATGCGTGGTGAACATCTGGTAGAAATGACCAACAGGCAGCTGGGCACAGGTGAGGCCACAGAGCAGTATTAGTTCATCACTACTGCAACTACATCACTTAGGAAACTCTTTGTCCCTCTAGAGCCGCCATTTCCTGCCCCTGTGTCATGTCAGTGTACTTTTTACACCAGAGTCTGTGAGCTTGTTATGGTAGACACTGTGATGCAGTGACTGAGGGGCCTTAGAAGACGGCTGTGTGACTCAGTGGTCTGGAGCAGACCCCACAGAGGGCTCCCTAGATTAGGGCACGAGGCCTGCCTTCTTAGCCTACATCTGCTCCTACTAGCTGAAACTGATGCCTTCCTCAAAAGCCTAAGAGCCATGGAACCACTGTCTGCTACTTTGGACAAGCAGAGAAATAGTGTTCAGGCACCACCCACAGGTCTCCAGGAATGCTTTGTGCTCCGCCCTCCCCACCCCAGCACTTCAGCACTAACACCTGAAGGAGATGCAGAGTCTTTGGGCTACAGAACTGTCCGGAAATGCAGTTCAGCCCCTCTGATCCCTGAGACCTCACAAAGCCTAGGCTTGAAGTCTGGTGTTTTAGAAAGGCGGAGGTGGGGGTGACATTTCTCAAGGATAGAAAAACTAAAATATGCAGGTTGTTGTCTAAAAGAAAAAAGAGGGGACCAGAGTCCAGGAATGGGAAAAGAGAAAGAAAATTCTGGATTAGTTTATCTATTCCAGAGTAAGGGTGACCCACTCCTGGAACCTGCTTGTGTCTGACTCTGCTGTGAGCCCCAAGCACCCTTCCCAGCTGCTGTTTCCAAATGCTGGCTCCACCCCTTCCACGGCTGCTTGCCCACCCAGTTCTGTTGGCCTTCCCCAATGTCTGTCTCACAGCCCATCTGCTCCATGTTTCTGCCAAGAGTTTTGTAACTTCATCGTGGGCTGTTCCTCTTCAGACACTCCAGATGGTTAATGCTTTTCTGCAGCAATATCAAAATGCCCCCATTAGACTGGGAAGGACTTGAAGGTCCTTCCAACCAGATGGACAAAGCAGCTGGGCATCTTTGTCCATCCCGGTCCCACCGCTGGAGAAAAAGGTGTCTTACATGGCAGGCACACAGAGAAGTGTTTGCTGCCTCTGCTGACCCCACCCCCATCCTGTGCTTAGCAGGGTGTTTCATCTCCCCAGCTCTTCAAATGTGTCTGTCTTGTCAGCACACCTTCACTGCCTGTCATCTGCCCTCCGCCACATCCCCCCAGCATAGATCCTTCTGCACAGCAGTCCTGAGGTTTATTTCTCTTGGTCTCCCCGCCTCCACTGTCAGGGTAACACTGTTGAATCCATTCTTCATGTTTCCTGTAGAAGCTGAGAGGGTATAGCTCATGCTCTCAAGAACCTTAAAAAAAGATGTTAGACCAAGAACTTACAGTTAAAAGAGGCTAATGCCCTAGATGCTGGAGGCTTGGAGGCAGTGAGGGGTGTTTTTATTGTCTTTCAAAAGTATTTTACTTATTTTTTATTTGCTACATATGAATATTCTGCATGCATGTATGTCTGTGCAGCACAGGCATGCAGTGCCCACAGAGGCCAGAAGAGGGCATTAGATCCACTGGAACTGGAGTTGCAGCCAGTTAGCCGCCATGTGAGTGCTGAGCATTGAACCTGGTCCTCTGCAAGAGCAATGAATGCTCTACCTGCTGGGCCATCACTAGCCAAGGGTGTTTTGAAAGGGTGGGTACAGCACCTTCAGGAGCAACACTGCTCTGCAATCAGCTTCAGATGATTGAGGAATGAGACTCATCATGGCAGAGTGGGTTGATATTGGGGGGAGGGGGGGAGTCCAAAAAGGATTGTCATTTGGAGGCCAGAAACTAAGTGATCTATGAGAGTTCTGGTAGATAGATGGAAACGGCACTAGTTACAATTATTTGTAAACCAAAAAAGAAAATCAATTCATTTCAGATGAGCACTGATGCAGTGAGTACTGAGCCCATCACAAAACGTTTGTTAAGTATATCAAAGAATAACATTCTCTAGCTAGTAATCATTTACACATTTTTCTTTCACAAAAAGGAACTTGAGTTTGAATCCTGCCAAAGCACTCACTTCTTTCTCTAAGCCAGGAATAATAAGTCCTGGCCCAGCTGTCCTTGTCTGCAACAGGGATGGATGACGACACTATGTCAAAAGAAGATAGACTGTTATCTATGCAAATTAGTGTTCATAAAAGAATTCAGGGAGCTTTTAGCCCAGGCATGATTTTCTTTCTTCCTCATCCCAGTGGCTCTCTAGCCTCTCTGAACATTTGAAATCACCAAGGAGGATTTTCAAAAATACCTCTGAGTACCAGGACACAGGTGTGTGTGTGTGTGTGTGTGTGTGTGTGTGTTTCTTCCCTTGTGAATCTAATGCGCAGCAGTTGTCAGCCATTCATCAGGCATTAATACATTTTACTCTCAATGTAGGCGCAACCTATAATTAGGAATTAAGGACTGTGACTACACAGATATGGTTGGATAATAATCCTTTCTCATTTTACCCATCTAGAACTATTTCCAGACACCCAGCCTCCTGCCATGTCTGACCCCATTACACTGAATGTTGGGGGGAAGCTCTATACAACCTCACTGGCAACTTTGACCAGCTTCCCTGATTCTATGCTGGGTGCCATGTTCAGTGGGAAGATGCCCACCAAGAGGGACAGCCAGGGTAACTGCTTCATTGATCGTGATGGCAAAGTGTTCCGCTATATCCTCAACTTCCTGCGGACCTCTCACCTGGACCTGCCTGAGGACTTCCAGGAGATGGGCCTGCTCCGCAGGGAAGCTGACTTCTACCAGGTACAACCCCTGATTGAGGCCCTGCAGGAAAAGGAGATAGAACTCTCCAAGGCAGAGAAGAATGCCATGCTTAACATCACGCTGAAGCAGCGTGTGCAGACAGTCCACTTCACCGTGCGGGAGGCACCTCAGATCTACAGCCTGTCATCCTCCAGCATGGAGGTGTTCAATGCCAACATCTTCAGCACATCCTGCCTCTTCCTCAAACTCCTTGGCTCTAAGCTCTTCTACTGCTCCAATGGCAATCTCTCCTCCATCACCAGCCACTTGCAGGACCCCAACCACCTGACTCTTGACTGGGTGGCCAATGTGGAAGGCCTTCCAGAGGAAGAGTACACCAAGCAGAACCTCAAAAGGCTGTGGGTGGTGCCTGCCAACAAGCAGATCAACAGTTTCCAGGTCTTTGTGGAGGAGGTGCTGAAAATCGCTCTGAGTGACGGATTCTGCATTGATTCCTCCCATCCACATGCTCTGGACTTCATGAACAATAAGATCATTCGGTTAATACGGTACAGGTAAAAAGACCCTAGCCATACTGGGGAAGAAGTCCCCAAAAGGCTCATGTCAGCCAAGGCTTTGAGGAGAGTGTCTCACCAGTGGCACCAGACGGGACCTATACTAATCTGTATTAATTGCATAGCAGGACTCGATTCCCCATGATGAAGTCCACCTTCTGGAATCCTCATGTCCTCTAAACAGAACCACCTTTTCTTGGCATTTTGAGCTGGTGATGGGTAGTTTATTATGACAAGTTAAAAGTCAGCTGATACATACAAAAGGAGCCCACAGGAGAATTATCTGGCTGGGACAAAAGGGAGCAGTTTTCTCATGGGTTATCACCATACCCAGAGTCAGTGTCTCACTTACCCATCTCCAGAGAGAGCCCTGGCTGCTGAGGAGTAGGGTGGGAACAAGAGGCTCCTTTTTAGTTTCCTAGGATGTAAGATATACATCATATCCCATCATAACTGCTCTTTGTTCTGGAGGATGTGTCCAGGTACCGGGACACCTTTGCCCAAAGGCAATCATGTTTGGGTGGTTCGGAATGCAATATGCTCCCAGAACCCTTTGTGGCTCCACTCAGGGAGAAAGTTAAGCTGTCCCATGGCCTAGGAGTGAGTATCTAGACTTCAGCAGGAGGGAATGATCCTCCTGAAGAGGCTGAATTGAAGGATTCTTGGCTTCAGAAAGTGGTTGTTTTCCCTGCAAAGATGTGATCGTATTGGAGCTAAGACAAAGAAGGACACGCCATGATCCAGCCTGTTGCTTGACTTGCAGAATCCTTTTCCCTTGAATTGGAAGCATCACTGAAACCAGTCGGTTTAAACCAATATATTATAAACTCTCAGGGTTGTAAAATAATCCAGTAGTTTTTAGTTCTTCCACTTCCTCTGGGACACCCCAGTGCATTTGGGGATGAGTGCCTCTCCTTGAGTACCTCCAAGGGATCACTTACGCCAGCCTGCATACCCACTGATGACAGAAAGCTCTCTGTTCCCAGGGCAGCTTCTGCCAAGATTGAGCCATGCTGGTTATTAGAAAGTTCTTTCAGTATTGACCCAAAATCTGTCCTGCCCATCCATGTGCTAGGCCTTCCTTTTCACACAAATGTTTGTCCTTGTTTTGACTAGACACTTTGACAATAGCATTACTCAGAACTCAAATTCCCTCTGCCATTTGTCTTTAGCAAAATTAGCTCCTTTCTATCCTTAAGCCAACTCTCTTGTATATGGCTTTGCCTTGTTCATGGCCCCCAGTTCAACTTCCCCGCCAGCCATGGCTCAGCACAAGTCTGACTATTTCTGGCTGTAGAAGATCAGCACCTGAGGAGATGTAGTCCAGGAGTGCTCTGTACCCCACAGTGCCCCTAGAGTGAATGCCCAGCCCCTAATACTCCCTTAAGAAAGCAGCCTTCCCCGTCATTCTGTCTGGGCCTGCCTGAGATACATTAAGGGCAAGAAACCCCAGACCATTACTCCCCAACAGGCGAGGAGCCTTATGGACCTCTAAACTGCACATTATGATTCATCCCTGGAATGACTGTAGCTTTGAGAATCCGAGTCCCACTGGAGCTGGGCTCCAGACACAGGCAGGGAATCCTGGAACAGGATCCACAGTGTACAGAGCAAAGAGCTTCCAGGGTTACACTGTGTAAATGAGGAGATTTCATAGTTATAGGCAAAACCTGATCCTGATGCATTAAAGGCCTTTCTCTCCCCACAGCGGGACCCAGGAGTCTCCGTGGCTGTCTTGAGCCACTGCACCAGTGGTACTCTGGAAGGTTCTTCAGAGAACCAACCAAGACAACAGAAGCTGTGATCATGGCCAAATAAATCAAGGAAAAAAACCTCAGAAATCAACACTGCCCTTTATTTTTTTTTCCTCCATAAAACTGCTTTCTCCGTCTTTTTGGTGCTTCCTAATTCAGTAGCTTGACCTTAGAGCAAGTACAGAACCTGTGAAGCCACTAACACACTGTGTTACTGTGCAAGTCACTCGCCTCACTGAGCCACCTCCATTTCTTCATCTTCGAAATGGGCATATAGTAATACATAACCCTACCTACCTCACAGGACTGTTGTGAGGATCAAACAAAGTAATGTATGTGAAAATAAACGATAAATGACAATTACTTTGTGTCTGCTTCCAAAGGGGAAATCTCCAGTCTTAAATAAGATGGACACAGGTTGGAATTGGCTTCATTGCTTACTGCTAGATCCTTGGCCATGTCAATGAGCTTCTCTGGTTTGTTTCCTTGTTGGGTTAACACTCCCACCCCAGGCACCTTAAAAGAGTGGGTAGGAATTCCAGCTGGGCCTGGAACACAGCTCAGTTGATGCTCTCAGTTAGTTAGGGCCGACCCCTGTGTAGGCAGAGTTAGCTAGCAAGCCTGGGAATGGGCTCCTCACACATGCTGTGGGAATGTGGGAAAGAGGTTCTTCCTCTCACATAGAGCTCTATGGATGGTGGAAAGTGGGTTAACCATGGACAGAATTGACAGAAGTGCACTGAGGGCAGGCAGGAGAGGTGTGGGGGTGGGTGGTCCTCCCACACAGCCACTGATGGGGGAGTAATGGGGACAGGTGGTACACTGAACACAGTCTCTCCAGGCTCATGGCTGACAGGTGAGAGGAGGCGCACCTAGCAGTGTGTGTGGTGCCATTGCAGTGGGTGTGAGAGTGAATCAGGGCTGGACCACCAAATGATCCTTCCATTTCTAAGAAGGCCAAGCCTCATGACCCTGTCCTGGCATTGGGACCATGCTCCCTTTCTCCCTTTGCAGGAATGGCCACAAAGTACCTTGCCCTCGCCGCAATGTTCCACCTCAGTGCAGCCCAGACACAGCCATCCCCACCATGGTTTATTAGTCACTATGTGGCCTGAATCATAGCATTTATTAGAATTTACCCAATTCCAGCTTCTTTTTATGAATTATTCCCAACAGGCTCTGTGAAGGGGGTGGGTGTAAGCCAAGGTCAGCTTGTGGCCAGAGCACCACCCATCCCATTTCTGGGCTGCAGTCTCTTCACACTGACCATCTGTGCCTGCCTAGGTGTCCAGGGGCTCAGGGCTGGTGGCAGTGGTTGGCAGGGAAACAAGGCCCTGTGATCATTTCCCAGAGGAAAAAAAAAAAAACCTTGATAACAGGCCTCTCAGCCAGCAGGCTGGTTTCCAGGTCCTAAAGATCCTGGCTTTAACAACTCCATCTGCCCAGACGAAAAAAAAAAAAACCTTGATAACAGGCCTCTCAGCCAGCAGGCCGGTTTCCAGGTCCTAAAGATCCTGGCTTTAACAACTCCATCTGCCCAGACAACTGGGTGCCCTCAGTCTCCTTCAGAACCTTTGGGTCACTGTAGTACAGGCTGAGCAGTAGAGGTAGTCTGTTGACCAACTCACCCAGTCTGGAGACCCTGAGGAGGAAAGTTGGTCAGTGGAAGCCAGAGGATCACAGAGCACCCATAGCTGCCAGGTCCCACCTGAACCAAAGGATGAGCAAACAGGCTTTGACAGTGGTGCTGCCAGCCAGTCTCATGGGTAGTGAGTCTGAACCATGAGTATCTGACCCTCGCCCCTGCCTCCAATTCCCAGGACATTTCTAAGCCTCTGCTACCATTTTCCAATTAGCTGGTAGCCTAGAGTACTCCAAGGCATTCTCTTTGTTATTCCAGGTCCCCCCTCACCCTGCCAAGGTCTAGGTTCCCTTTTACTGAAAGCTGGGTAAAGGCCCAGTTAAGCCACATTTGTCCAGCTAAAGAACAAAAGATACTCTCTCCCCAACCCGAGTGTTGTATTGAATTTATGTAATAAAACACTCTTTACTAACTCCTGGGCTACTAAGTTCCTTCATATCCACAGTCTTCACAACAAACAACTGCTCAACTCCTAACACTGTCCATGAGCTCCACTTTCTTCACCAACAGACAAGTCCCAATCCTATACCCCAGGGAGGTGTTTATCATCAGTTGTTCACCCACAGTGTGGCACTGGTAAATAGCCACCTCTCTGGAGCAAGGCTCTGGTTTGTAGCCTTCACCACATTCCATGGCACAAGTGTGCTCAGGTGGTTGATTTCAAACCACCAATGTGGTATGATGGGTAAGCTGGGACAAGAGGCATAAAGTTCTGGAGTCCAGAGTGAGAGGTCTCCATCTCTGCCGCTCTTTGTAAATGAAGGTGCTCTGCCTTTCTCTTTAGATCAAAAGTCTGCTCCAAATTATTCTGTAGCATACAATAAAAACCAAAAAAACCAAAACAAACAAAAAAACCTAGTTACTAGCTCTAGTTGGCCAGTTTTATGTCAACTTGACACAAGCTAAAGTTATCTGAGAGGAGGGAACTCAATTGAGAAATTGCCTCCATAAGACTGGGCTGTAGGGCATCTTCTTAATTGGTGATTGATGAGAGAGGGCCAGGGCCATTGTGGGTGGTGTTATCTAGGTTGGTGGTCCCAAGGTCTAGAAGACAGCACACTGAGAAAGCCATGGAAAATAAGCCAGTAATAGCACCCCTCCATGGCCTCTGCATCAGATCCTGCCTCCAGGTTCCTCTCATTTGAGTTCCTGTCCTGACTTCCTTGGATGATGAACAGATATGTGGAAGTGTAAGCCAAATAAACCTTTCCTTCCAAGTTTCTGTGCTCATGGTGTTTCATTGCAACAACAGTAACCCTAAGACAAGCTCTTTGCAAACAGGTGTCAGCTTTCTTTCTTTCTCTCTTCTCTCTCTCTCTCTCTCTCTCTCTCTCTCTCTCTCTCTCTCTCTCTCTCTCTTTTTTTTTCAAGTCAGGGTTTCTCTGTGTAACAACTCTGGCTGTCCTAGAACTCACTTTGTAGGCCAGGCTGGCCTCAAACTCACTGAGATCTGCCTGCCTCTGCCTCCCAAGTGCTGGAATTAAAGGTGCATGCCACAACTGCGAGCTTTTTCTTTTTTCTTTTTCTTTTAGGTATCTGTTTTCTAAGGCAAGACCTTTGAACGGCAGTCAGTGAAGGTAGAAACTCATAATTGGATCAGTAACCTTGTAAAGGAGACTATAGAGGATACCCTTGCCCTTTCTACCACATGAGAGCACAGTGAACAGATAGCCATGTATAAGCCAGGGAACAAGCAACAAATTAGACACAAAAGCAGAATCCATCCTTCTGCTACGTACAAGAAACACATCAGCTACAAAGACAGACATTACCTTAGAGTAAAGAGTTGGGAAAAGATTTTCCAATCAAATGGACCTAAGAAACAAGCTGGTGTAACTATCCTAATATCTAACAAAATAGACTTCAAACTAAAATTACTCAAAAGAGATGAAGAAGGTCATTTCATATTCATTACAGGAAAAATCTGTCAAGATGAAGTCTCAATTCTGAACATCTATGCCCCAAATACAAGGGCACCCTCATTTGTAAAAGAAACATTATTACAGCTTAAGTCACACATGAAGTCCCTCACACTAATAGTGGGAGACTTCAACACTCCACTCTTACCACTGGACAGGTCTCCCAGACAGAAACAGGTCTCCCAGACAGAAATAAAGGAACTAACAGATGTTATGACCCAAATGGACCTAACAACCTCTATAGAACATTTCACCCAGGCACAAAAGAATATACCTTCTTCTCAGCACCCTATGGAACCTTCTGTAAAATTGACCACATACTCAGTAACAAAGCAAACCTCAACAGATACAAAAAAAATTAAATAACTCCTGTCTCTTATCAGATCACTATGGCTTAAAGTTAGAATTCAACAACAACACTAATTGCAGAAAGCCCATGAACTCATGGAAATTGAACAATGCTCAACTGAATCAACACTGGGTCAAGAAAGAAATTAAAGACTTCCTAAAATTCAATGAAAATGACAGCACAGCATACCCAAACTCATGGGACACAATGAAAGCAATGATAAGAGGTAAGTTCATAGCACTAAATGCCTACATGAAGAAGCCAGAGAAATCCCACACTAGCGAATTAATAGAACAATTGAAAGCTCTAGAACAAAAAGAAGCAAACTCACCGAGGAGGAGTAGATGACTAGAAATAACCAATTTGAGGACTGAAATCAATAAAATAGAAACAAAGAAAACAAAGAATTAATGAGACAAAAAGTTGGTTCTTTGAGAAAATCAACAAGACAGACAAATCTTTATCCAAACTAACCAAAAGACAGAGAGAATATCCAAATTAACAAAATCAGAAATAAAAAGGGGGCATAACAACAGACACTGAGGAAATCCAGAGAATCATCAGGCCATACTTCAAAAACCTGTACTCCAAAAAAATGGAAAATTTAAAGGAAATGGACAATTTTCTGGATAAGTACCAAATACCAAAATTAAATCAAGACCAGATATACAAATTAAATAGACCTATAACCCCTATGGAAATAGAATCATCAAAAGTCTCCCAACCAGAAAAATCCCAGGCCCAGATGGTTTCAGCACAGAATTCTACCAGAACTTCAAAGAAGAGCTAATACCAATACTCCTGAAATTTTTCCACAAAAAAGAAACATAAGGAACATTACCAAACTCTTTTTATGAGGCTACAGTTCCCCTGATACCCAAACCACACAAAGACACACCTAAGATAGAGAATTACAGACCAATCTCCCTCATGAACATTGATGCAAAAATACTCAATAAAATACTGGCAAACCTAATCCAAGAATGCATCAGAAAATTCATCCACCATGACCAAGTAGCCTTCATCCCAGAGATGCAGAGATGGTTCAATATACAAAAATCCATCAATATAATTCATCAAATAAACAAACTAAAAAAAATACATTACCATCTCATTAGATACTGAAAAGGCCTTTGACAAAATTCAACACCCCTTCGTGATAAAGGTCTTGGAGAGAGCAGGGATACAAGGAACATACCTAAACATAATAAAGGCAATAAACAGTAACCCAACAGTCAACATCAAACTACATGGAGAGAAACTCAAAGTGATCCTACTGAAATCAGGAACAAGACAAGGCTGTCCACTCTCTCCATATTTATTCAACATAGTACTTGAAGTTCCAGCTATAGCAATAAGACAACAAAAGGAGGTCAAGGAGATACAAATTAGAAAAGAAGAAGTCAAACTTTCCCTATTTACTGATATGATAATTTACATAAGTGACCCCAAA